CGACTGGTTCTGAGCGGCCTTGTCGTCTTGCATGGGGGGCTGCACCCTTGTCGCGTTCTGGTTCGGAAATATTCCTTCAGCATCTCTGCGACGCCAACCACTACAGTCCAAGTCTCCTTGGACTCTTCCTGCCGATGCTCACCTATCTTGAAAAACTGCACCGGTTGACTCTTGATGGTTGAATTTGCTAACTTCAAAGGATTAACTTAGACGATAGGAAAGTTTGACCGGTATACTATCCGAAGTGTACCGGTCAACCTTTTGGTCAACCATCTATCCCTTTCGCTGACGATTCAGGTCCTCCACTCAAGTTCAACCTCTTTGACCGGTCAACTATTTGGTTCCATCCTTTGACCGGTCATGGGTGAAATACACCAATCAATAAGCCTTCCACTTCTCGGTTATGCAATTTTGTCATAAGCGGGAAGTAAAAAATCTGAAACAGGACTTTTAAATTCGAATTTTGGCTTTCCTCGCTCGAAATTTTTGAATTTCAAAATTCAAAAAGTGTCAGTTACGACACGTGTTGAAAATTGAGCGCGGCCAGTCATGTTTCCCTTCGTCTCCCCAGGTGCAATGATGGCGCCGCTTCACGCGGCGCAATCTGGTGGAGCCACGTCGTCCTCTTCTGAGTTTTCTTCGCCTATATAAAGGCCTTCAGCCTCTTCATTCCCTCACTTTCTCTCGCGCGATCCTTCTGAGTTTCACCGGTCAAGTTCTTGCTTTCGCTCTCCAGCCCTCTGAGTCAAGTAAGCTTCCTTCTCTTATTAGCTTTCTTTATTCTCCATTTTTCTTTCCAGTCAATGTCTTCCTCCGATAGTCAGGATATTTCCGCCTCGGATGCCTACGCATCCGAGGAATCCCCATCTTCTTCTTCCTCGACCGGGTCAACTTTACCCGATCTTGAACCCCGGTCGGTTCCTAACACCACTGCCTCTGGACCGCAACCGGTTAACCAGGTGCCTGGTCAGGTTTTTCAGGAGAGGGATGACCCGGTCGAAGACGAGCCGGCCCCCTATGATCCTGACAACGAGTCATATGAGGAATGGGAGAACCGGCTAGAAGCGGCCGGTTACTTTCCCCTTCCCACCAGCTACCCCTCAGACATCTACCCCCGGGTATCTAAGATCGCTCAAAATAAGGCCCGTAGGAATCTCCCAGAGGGGTACGTTCTTGAGTACGACCCCAGTTGGCCCAACATTATCGAGCCTCACCGGGATGATAGGGTAGGTTTCCATATCATTTCTTTGGAGAGTGGCACCGTCTTCCCCCTGCGTCCCCTCCTGGTTGAGTTATGCCACTGCTTTAAGATTCTTCCCGGGCAAATTACGCCCAATGCTCATCGCTTCCTTAACGCCTTTGTGAATATCTGTGTTGAGCTTAAGATCGACCCTTCCCTTTGTCTATTTCTCTTCTTGTTTGAAGTCCTTCCCGGTAAATCGGGTTGTGACGGTTACGTCTACTTCAAAGGCCGCAATGGTCGCCAATTTATCTCTGACCTCCCGCAAAGCAACCGGCAGTGGAAGGAGAAGTTTGTTTTTATAAAGTTCCCCACCACGTCTCCCTTGGCCGGCATTAGGTGGAATGACCACATCCTCAAGTCTCAATATACCGAGCCGGCTAGCGCTCCAGACTTGGAAGAAAGTTTGGAGAAACTTCTACAGGGGGACCCTTTCACCGGTCAAATGTTCCACTACGGGGCTTGGATCTGGAGGATCCAACCGGGTGGTGAGGGTACCCCTCGGGCCCAGGAGGCAGCGGGGCACAGGGTACCCTCCCCGGGCAACACTGCTGAGGCCGGGTGTTAGGCGTGTCGTAGCTCCTAAAAAATTAATTTATTCTTTTCCTTTACTCAATTCCTTCTTGTAAAAAATAATATTTATTAAATCTATAGATAGGATAAGTAAGAGTCGATCCCACGAAGAAAGACATTTTTTAGGCTACGAAAATCAGTTTACTTTGTCAATTTTTATTGAGTGAAAACAACTATCTAAAATCTATAAACTAAATTAAAAGATGGGGGGGTTTGAAAATTGTTTTCTAAATAAAGTAAAAAACTAACTAAAGTGACACACCACACCAGAACAAATCTCAAAACAAACCAAGGATAAAAACAGAACATAACTCCACCAAAAAGCCCAAACGAAGAAGACAAGCACACATAACACAATAATTTAGAGACTTAAACAATTTTAGAAAACCAACAAAATGTTTTATAATATAGAAAATAAATATCCAGGATCAAAACTTTGTTAAAAACTAGCATAATCATCAACCAACTATAAATTAAAACAAGGGTCCGGCTGAAAAAGAGGTCCACCAACGGTTCTTTCCTATTTTCCCATTCATAAAAGCTCATGTTAGGACCAACCCTAACTCTAAACCCTACTACCCTTAGCAACCCAAAGACCAACCCTTAGATTACTACTAAGAATAGTGCATTAAGATTTGTGGAAAACATCACCGTAACAATCTTGCAGTAACACGAAGGTTATTTAACAAAATCANTAGTTCTCAAACACCTTTGAATTAATTTAAAAGTAGCAAAAACTGGAATAATTTTCAGATTATAAATCTTGTTGTAAAAATTTAAACCCATAGACAGATTCAATTTTAAGCAACAAGATTCAATACTTCTTCCAAAAATTCTGGTTTCATATGTTATTTTTTACGAAATCAGACCTTAGATGACATAAAAACACAAAGAACACTCTCAAAGAATGCTTCTAAAACACAAACTTGTTCCGGAACTTGGACAGTATTGAAACCAAACATGTTTAGAAAGTTACATCATGAAAAGTCAATAATGCTTATCCATTGCCAGTACAAGGCAGTAAACGCATAAACCCATATTAAATTGAAAACAAACTTTAGTTTTGAATAGCCATCACAGGTTCAGAACTAAGAAAAAATCAATTGGAAATATGTTCCATATAACTGAAGGAAACAAAACAACACAAATTTGAGAAAGGAACAAGGGGATTAAGAATTCAAAACAAATTCTACTTTGACAAAACAGAAGAAAAAAAAACAGAGAAAGGGAAGGGTTTCGGATGCAAGATCCGAACCCCCCCTGGGGTTATTACCCTATGCGTTGAGCTCGAGTTCTTGCTCTCGATATGTGGTGGTGATGTTATTCGCAGCGCCTCCCTCAATTTATAGGTGTTCTTCGTCTCTTCCGTCTTCGACTAGGACTCTTCACTTCTGAATTAGCGTTGCAATTCTTGCTCCGGATTCTCCGGCTCCAGCTATGCTTGAAGAAGTCGTCCCAACGTAGGAGAGGGAGTCTTCGGCTCTTCTATCTCACACGTCTCTCTCTTTTTCTCTCTTTTACGCAGCTGCTCTCAAACTTCTACTTCTTGTGTGTATTGGAGGTGGACCTTTGGGCTTTGTCATCTTAGGCCCGGATTTCCTTTGAAACCATAAGTCAAGGTAGAGCCCAACTGGATTGCTTTCACATTTTCAGCCCGCACTTTATGCTCCAAGAATATATCTAATAACCTTTGTCAAGGAGAATTTGGGTCCACAACAATAATATTCAAAAATAAACTGAAAAGTGTGCATTATGAACATATTTTAAAAACTATGCCTAGAATGCAAATATAATCATTTAAGTGTAAAAATGCACTTTTTAATGCCCGAAAATACTGATTTGGTAGAGAATAATTAGTGAATATTTTGGACTCAACACCGGGGGCCCAAGCCACCCAGGTATCTTTATCTTCTTCTTCCTTCCTTTGAGCGCACCGGTAATAAATGGATTACTTATACTTCTCCATTTGTTCCGCAGATATGAATTTCAGGTCCTACGACATTCCCAAGACGACCGGTGGAACTTCTTCTGCCGGTCCACATTCAAAAACAATACCGGTCCAGAGGGAAACAGTTGAGATCCACTCTGAGGAGGAAACTCCTCAGACCGGGAAGGCGACTCAGACAGGGAAAGACCCGGTAGATCCTATCCCCGACAAGGGAAAAGGAAAAAAGAGAGTGAAGCATGCGGCCACCAACCATCCGTCGGCCAAGAGGAGAAGGGGAGAAAACGCCCCGGCTGAAGAGTCGCTGGAGGAGCTCTGTGTCAAATTGACCCTCAAGCTGAAAGAGGTAACACTTATCCGGTATGTCTTCTTGCATTTGTCATTTGATCATTGTACTAACCGGCACGCTTTTCAATATGTAGATGGGCGAAGTTAGGTCCGACGCCTTGGAGCAACTCACCGAAGATTCCTCCTCCCGGTTAGCCCAACTGGAAGAAAAGTTAAAGAGATCCGAGGCCCACAACCGGGAGCTCAAGGACCTGACGGCCCGGCAACTAGATGAGATGGCCAATCTCTCAGCGATTGCCGGGGGGGCCAAGGCGGAGACTCTTCAGCTGAAGGAAGAGAAATTGAAGCTGATGGACGAGTTGGAGTCCAAGGAGCGTGAGTTTCCCGGTAGGGCCTGTCAGTGGATAGAGGACAACTTGGTCGAAGCTGCCCGGGTACTTACTTCTTCTGAAGAAAGGACGGTGGAAGGCTTCAAGATGTTGTACCGGGATGAGCAAGGGAAAGAGATGATTACCCAGATTGGCTCCTATGGTTTCATGTCTGGCCAAAAGCGAGACCGGGAGGCCACCTATGCGATCCTTGCCGAACGGGATCCGGACATCAATGCCGAATCATACGGCCTGGCTCCCTTTCCGGATGATGAGCCTGCACCTCCTTTTCCTCTCGAGTAATCTTCCCGGCTGCGACCGGTTGCATCGTTTTGTAAAACTTCAAACTCATTTCCCCGGGAATGCCCGGTGTAGCTGTAAAACACGTGACTTTCTTATTTTGTTGAATGCCATGTTTGTTTTTCATACCGGTTAATCTTCCATATCTGCTTACTTCTTGATTGATACTTCGTTACTGCTTCTTAGAATACCATCATAGAAACTCTGACCGGTACATAAATCAGACCACTCCTCAATTGTTTTCAACCGGTAGAACTTCAAAGTTCTCTTTGATAACTTCATCTGAAGGATCAACTCGAGTAACTTGGACCGGTCAAACTTCAATTTTCGCTTTCTTGGCTTGTTTTTGAATATGCTAAGTCCAACCCGGTTGAACTAAAGTGAACCGGTTGAACTTCAACTTTTGCTTTTTGATTGTTCTCATCTTGGTGGTCAACTTAAAAAGTTTGACCGGCTGAACTTCCCTTTGGCTTTTGGATACCTTCGTTCGACGAAGTAGAGTATGACCGGTGCGTTCCCATCTCATGGTACGACCGGTCAACTGCTTTGCCTTGAGGAACTTCCGAAGTTCCGCTGTATCAATACCCAACCGGGGTATTCTTTTTTTTTTTTTTTTGACCGGTAGGTTGTAGGTGGAAGCACCTGTAACCTAGTAATTTCTTGAAGTATCCTTAACCGGTAAGAATACTGGAGAATTAACCATGTCGAATGGTTTCGAACCCTCTCCAAGGTTCAAATGCACCCTTCTTCCAGGCCCCCTCTTCCGGGTGATTAAGTCTTTTAATGGCCCTTTGGTTTCTACCATCCCGGGAAGGCCTTAGCTCACCCCCCGTTCAAGTCTTCCCTGAGAAGGGGGAAACAGGATGCGCCACGGTGGACGATCCCCTTCTATTTCTTTTAATGGGCATCTTTTAGTCCCCAATCAATTTGACGGTACCGGCTGATTCCCCGATACCGGTCAAACCTCATGGGCCCGTGTAAGTACGGTTCGAACCTTCTTCCAGGTCCAGCCTTCTTGCAGGCATACCCTCTTCCGGGCCCCTCTTCCGGGTTTTATTATTTTTTCTATTATACTGAGCAAGACCGGTGTAGTAACCAGCGTGCCAGGTCCGGGCCTGTGTCTCAGTTGGCTTATCCGAATGGATCCGATCCACCCGGGAAGCCCTCCTAGGATAGGTTCGACCTATCAATTCTGCTGTTACCATGTTGAGTACTGAATGTCATTGGTCTGATTGATAATAAGGTAGGCCTTGCCTAGTATTACAATCATTTGTAGTACTTGCGAAGATGGTGGGAATTCCAAGTCCTTTCTACCGGTACACCATCTAGGGTTTCTAACCGGTAGGTTCCCGGGCGAATGATAGCTCTCACCCGGTAAGGTCCCTCCCAGTTCTTGGCCAGCTTTCCTCCGTCTCCCGGTCTACTAGCCTCCCTTCTGCGTAGGACTTCATCACCGACTTGGAAATATCGCGGCCCAACCTTGTTGTCGTGGTATTTCTTTACAACTTGTTGGTATGTGCTCATTTTAACTTCCGCGGCCATTCTTCGCTCTTCGACCAAGTTGAGTTCGGCCAAGTGATCTTCCTCATTCTGCTAGGGTTGATAATTTGATTCCCGGAACATTGGGAATTCAGCTTCGATGGGTAGCCTTGCTTCACACCCATAGGTTAGGGAAAATGGAGTTTCCCCATGAGCCCTCCTGGGTGTTACTCGGAACGCCCAGATGATATGTGGGAGCTCTTCCAGCCACTTGTTTCCTGCTTCTCCCAGCCGTTTCTTTAAACCATCCACGATTGTCCGGTTGGCGTTTTCAACTTGGCCATTTCCTTGGGGGTACGCCACTGAAGAGCGATTGTGCTTGATTCCGAAGCCCTCCAAGTACTCGGTGAATCTCGGATTTCGGAATTGCGGGCCGTTGTCGGTGATTAGGTTCATGGGAGCCCCGAACCTCGTGATGATGTTCTTCCAAATGAACTTCTTGCATTGTTGCGTGGTAATGTTGGCCAATGCTTCGGCTTCGATCCACTTGGTGAAGTAATTGATGGCCACGATTACAAATTTCTTCCTTCCTTGGGCGATTGGGAATTCCCCAATGATATCCACCCCAAATCTAGCGAAAGGGATGACATTCGATACGGGGTGATAGTAGGTCGCCGGCCTACCGGGGTATTTGTAGAATACCTGACACGTTCTGCATTTCTGGACGTACCTTTCACAATCCTGGACAATTGTTGGCCAGTAATACCCCAACAGGATGATGCGTTGGGAAAGCGTACGGGACATTTGATGCGCCGCGCATACGCCCTCGTGGACCTCCGCTATGACTCGTTCAGCCTTCCGGTTGGTTAGACATCTCAGGAGTGGCCCCCCCCGAATGCTCTTTTATACAGCTTTCCATCAAGGACTTGGAACCGGAGTGCCCTAAACTTCACCTTCCTTGCCCGGTCATCTTGTTCTGGCAAGCTCCCATCCATCAAATATTCCATTAGATCGTACATCCAATGGTTATCCGCCCCGATCAACTTTGACTGGTCAGATTGGCCTTCCCCTGTTATGGCGGCTACTTCCAGTTTCTCGATGCTGGCATGGTCTAGGATTTCCACCCGGGCAAGTTTTGAAACATGCTCGGGAGCATACTGCATCAATTTGGAAAGGAGGTCAGCATCCGCATTTTCCGCCCGGGGAATCTGGGCGATCTTGAATTCCTCGAAGCCTTTCAGCAAGGCAAGTACCAAGTCTTTGTACTGTGCCATTCGTCCTTCTCTTGCTTCCATATTACCGGTCACTTGCCCCACAATCAGACTAGAGTCAGATTTGATACTGACCCGGCTGATTTTCAAGGCTTGGGCAAGTCTGAGCCCTCCAGCAAGAGCTTCATATTCTGCTTCATTGTTCGTCAGCCTGAAGTTGAAGACGATTGCATGGTAGATCTTGAACCCTTCTGGGGTGGTAAACACGATTCCACCCCCATATCCTCTTGGGCCAGATGCCCCGTCTACCGCCATCTCCCACCATTGCTCGGTAGGCTTGTCGACCGGTGCATCTGGAGTTATACCGGTCATTTCCACAAGGAAGTCCGCAAGGGCTTGCCGTTTGATTGCTGATCTCGGCCGGTACTCAATATTGAATTGAGTTAGCATCATCGCCCACTTCACCATCCTTCCGGAGGATGTTGAATTTCGCAATACTGCATCCAGCGGTTGGTCAGTCAAGACTTCTATCGGGTGAGCTTGAAAGTAGGATGTTAACTTCTTTGCAGAGATGAAAAGCGCGTAGGCTGTTTTTTCCATCGCCGTGTATCTACTTTCCGCTCCGTTTAGTGCTTTGCTCACATAATAAATGGGCTTTTGTGCCCCATCATCTCTTATTAAAACAGAGCTTACAGCATTTGGGGAAATTCCCAGGTACAGATACAGAGTTTCACCCGGCTGGGGTTTAGACAATACAATATCTGACACTAGGTATTCTTTCAGCTCCTTAAATGCCCTCCGGCAGTCTTCGTCCCATGCAAATGTGTTGGCCTTCTTCAGGACTTTGAAGAAGGGCAGGGATCTCTCAGCTGACCGGGAAAGGAACCGGCTGAGGGCCGCTAGACGACCGGTCAACTTTTGCACATCCCTAACCGAGGAAGGGGCTTGCATCTCAGTGATAGCCCGGATTTTTTCTGGGTTGGGCTCTATTCCTCTCTTGGTCACCATGAATCCCAAGAACTTCCCGGTACGAACTGCGAAGACGCATTTCTTAGGATTCAACCGGAGGTTGTATCTTGCCATGATACCAAATGTGGCATGCATGTCAGCCGGGCGGTTGAGGGATACCTGGCTTTTGATCAGCATGTCGTCAACGTACGCCTCCATGGTCTTTCCCAGCAGCGGCTTGAAGAGCTTGTTCACCATGCGCTGGTAAGTTGCCCCGAATTCTTCAAGCCAAACGCTATTACCCGGTAACAATAGGTTCCTTTGGGTGTGAGGAATGACGTCTTCTCCTCATCTTCTTTTGTCGTGTAGATTTGGTGGTAGCCTTTGAAGGCATCCATGAAACTTAGGAGTTCGCACCCCGCAGTTTCGTCCACCATTTGATCTGGACTGGGAAGGGGGTATGAATCCATCGGACAAGCCTTGTTCAAGTCCGTATAATCCACACACATTCTCCATGTGTCGCCTTTGGGAGCAAGGACAACGTTGGCCAGCCAATCCGGGTATTTGACTTCCCGGATGTGACCAACACTGAGGAGGTCCTTCACTTCCTTCTTGACGAAGTCTCGCCGGTCACTGGCCAGGTACTGCTTCTTCTAACGTACCGGTCGACTTCCTTCCCTCACGGCCAACCGGTGGTAGATAACAGAGCGGTCTATTCCGGGAATATCCGCCACGCTCCATGCGAATATGCCCGCGTATTCTTGGAGGACCCGTGTAATCTCTGCCTTGAGATCTTCGGGGAGATTCGCTCCAATTCTGACCATCCTCGAAGAATCACCCGGGTGAAGTTCGATTTCCACCGTCTCGGCCTCGGGCTCCAATTTCTCCCGGGTCTCTCCCTTTGTGATCTCTTGGGAGATGACATTGACCCCCTTGGTCATCTTCTTTACTGCCCGGGCATAGCACTCCCGGGCGTTCCTCTGATCGCCCTTCACTTCCCCCACACCGCCTGGAGTGTAGAACTTCATGCACAGGTGCGGCATGGAAATCACCCCCCGACTTTGTTGATACCTGGCCTTCCAAGGATTGCGTTGTGGACGCATTTTATGTCCACAACAATGAACCGCATTCTCTTCCACACGGTCTTTTCGCCCGATCCTAGTTCAACCGGTAGAACTATGGATCCTTCAGCTTCAACAGTGTCTCCCGTGAAGCCTGAGAGAGGGGTTTTGAGGGGCTCAAGTTGTGTCCGACACAACCTGAGTTTTTGGAAAGTCTCCAGGTATAAGATGTTGACACTGCTACCGGTGTCAACAAGTACCCGGGCGACATCCACCCCATTAATGTCCATGGTGATGACCAATGGATCATTGTGATCTTCACCGGTAGGAGGGAGGTCCCGGTCAGTGAAGACGATCGGCTCCCTCCTACTATGTTTACGCCTGGCCGGTTCAGCACTTACCTCACCAACGTAAATGCTGCGAACCCAATTCTTCCGCTGCGCGGCTGAATCTCCACCTTCAGGTCCGCCGAAGATCATCCCAATATGTTCCTTGTCAGGGGCCGGCTGCTGCTCCCTTTGCCGGTTGTTCCTTCGCCGGTCATTGTCCCGGTCATTCCCTGGAGCTGCTGGCCTAACCCACTGGTGGCTCTTCTCTTGGGCCTTCTGCAAATAATCCTTGCCAAGCTCTCCACTGTCTATCATTTGCCGGATGACTCCCTTAACACTTTTGCATTCGGAAGTGTTATGGAAATCTGACCTATGGTATGAGCAATAGGTGCCCGACCACTGCCGTCATACTTGACTGGTAGGATTTTCCGGAGGATTGACCGGGAAGGAAGCCGGTGCTTTCCTTACCTCCTGGCACTCCTCTGTGTTGACCATGCGGATGACCGGGTCATAATGGTGCCTTGGCCGGCTGGTTACCGGTGCTTCTTCCTTTTTGACTTGCACCGGCTTGGGCTTGAACCCATGCTCGGCTTCCTTCTTTGCCCGGAGTTGAGTTTCAGCCTCAGCAAACTCCCAGGCAGTGTGGTAGGCCTCCTGATACGTGGCCGGGGGTTTCCGACAGAACTCTTTGTATAGTTCCCCGGCACGTAAGCCATTCATGAGGAGGGATAACACTGTCTTGTCGTCCATCTCCTCCACCTTGTCTACCTCTTCTTTCCACCGGGTAACGAATTGAGTAAGGTTCTCAAATTCCCTCTGACCGGCTGTACTAAGATAGGTGAACTTCTTCCTCTTGGTACAATTCTCCTGGAACTTGGCCTTGAATTTTGAGGCCAAGTCATTGAAGGAATCAATGCTTCCCGGGTGAAGCTTATTGAACCATTCAGTAGCTCGGTTACGCAAGGGTTGGAAGAAAAGGAGGCACTTTTCTTCGTCTGTACAACCATCCATGGTTGCACTTTGATTGAAAGAATCCAGATGAATTTCCGGATCTTCCTTCCCGGTGAACCTTGGGGCGTCTATCTTGACCTTTCGCGGGAAAGGCGTCAGATGGACTCTCGTGGTGAACGGGGACCTGGCAAGGGGTTTGTCCCGGTCACTTTTCTCCCCGACCTTCTTTTCCAGCCTCTCCAACTTTGCCTCCATCTGTTGGACGCGGTCATTCGGGATGGTTAACCGGTTAGCCACCGGTACCCTAGGCTGGCTTTCTGCTTCCTCTTCTTGACGAGAGGCCCTCGTCCTTGCTGGTTCCCGCCGGTTTGACCGGGAGCGTTGAGTACGGGATGGCTCGGCCTCCCTCACCTCGCCTAGCTGGGCGAACGCGCTGACATGGGCGACGCTTTGCCCCAGCCTTAGCTTGGCTGACTTTCTTTGGCCCTCTTCCCTGTCCCCAGCCTTTCGAAGGCGGAGTTTCGGGAAGTGGCTGGCCGGATAGTTTTTCCCTTCTTCTTGTGGGCTCTTGGGATGTCCCACTCGCCGTCTCCGCTCTCAACTGAGACGCAATGACGATCAGGGGTGATATGTGGATTCGTACCTTGCGGGGGACGCGACGGCCCTGCAGCGTTGAGCGCACCAGCTAAGTTGATAGGGGCTATGGTGCTGACCAGCTGCGGCTGGAAAGGTGATGGCTGCGGTATCGGCATCTGGAACGGAGTCACTGCCATCGGAGCTTGAAGGGGCATCGTTCCAGCGCCTGGAAGGGCGAATGGAAACATTCCAGGGAGGAAAGGCATCCCCGCATTCTGTTGACACACGGCCATGACCTGGCCAAAGCCTTGGATGGCTTGTAAGTTGGCTAGGTCATTCATGAACTGGGTCATGCTTGGTGGGAACGTGACCCTCGGTCCAGCGGAAGGGACTGGGGTCGTGAATGGGCTGACCATGCTGGGTGTTGGGACCGAGCTTAGTCCCATCGGCAAAACCGGAGTTGAAACGACTGGCAGGGTAGCAACCACGGGGATGCTGATACCTTCAGTGGTGGCTTGCACCTGGGCAGAAGTAGCGTTGATTTGCTGGCTGGACGACATTTTGAGTGGTGTTTTTGTGGGTAGGTTTGTACTTAGAAGAGAAGAAACCTTAACGGTCCCACGGTCGGCGCCAAAAATGATGGTGTAAATTACTTGACCGGTCAAACTATACTAGACCGGGTCTAGAATAGTCGGCTTGATTCAGTAAAGTAAAGGAAGTAGAAACACTCAGAATGACCGGTAGGACTTTAGGTGGAACACCTGTAGCCCGAATTATATTAAAATAGAGAATGCACGGTTACTTTTACAAGGGAGTCTAGAGAGAGTGAATTCGGATCCCCTTCTTCGAGGGTTACAAGAGGTATATATACTAAGTTGGGGGGACAGGACCACGTGCGCCCACGTGGGGGCACGCTGCCACTGGGGTGTGAGGCGACTGGTTCTGAGCGGCCTTGTCGTCTTG